CAAGTGGCACTTTATACCACCAGGTAGTCCACATTGGGGTGGATTATGGGAAGCTGGTATTAAATCAACTAAATTTCATTTGCGAAGAATTGTAGGCAATATAATTTTGACATTTGAAGAGTTAACCACTGTATTAGCACAAATTGAAGCAATTCTAAATTCGAGGCCATTGTGCCCAATTTCATCAGATCCTTCAGATCTTGAATGCTTAACTCCGTCACATTTTTTGATAGGTGAGCCATTGACTTCGTGTCCTGAAAGGGATGTATCCAACATACCTGAAAATCGACTAAATTTCTATCAACTGTGTGTTAAAATAAAACAACATTTTTGGAAAAGATGGTCGGTAGAGTATTTAACTAGACTTCAAAATAGACCAAAGTGGTTAAGTCCAGTGAAAAATTTGGAAAAAAATACAATGGTGTTATTGAGAGAAGACAATGTTCCACCGCTAAAGTGGCCTTTGGGTCGCATTGTAAAGGTTATGCCAGGGTTAGATGGTAGGGTTAGGGTAAGGGTAGTGCAAGTAAAAACTCAAGATGGAATATTTACAAGGCCAATTACCAAATTAAGTCCTTACCTTATGACACAAATTAAAAATATTGTTGAAGTTTACACTTCAAGGGGGGGAGAATGTTGCAATTTCAGTTTTAATTAGAAGCAGCACCAGCCGCTTATATGAAATCTTTGAATCTCTCCCTTCGTTCATCTTCAAAAGCAGGAATTATACCTTATTAAAAATAGGATAGTTTAAGGTTAATTAGTACTAGTGTTCAGTAGAAAATCAGAAATAGATCAGAGTGGCCAGTTTAGTCAAGTTTTTGTTAATTTTAGTACCTGTTATTGTCATTGTAATAGAATTGTCATAAATGTATAATTTTTTGAAACTGGCTTGAAACGCTTGAATCCAAATAGAGCATTTACTGACATTTTTGGGCTTTTATTTGTCAGTTAGTCCTTCGGAAGAATTTTAGAAGCAAGTTGGGACTAGGAAAGCAGAGAAAACTCATTGTTGGCCATCGTACAGTCCTAATTAACGATTGTCCCAACACCAATAGAATGGAAAACAGGAAGGGACGCCGGCGCCGGCCACTTGCATCGGCAGGGTGCAGTGTTGCCAATGACCCGATAATTATCGAAATCTATAATTTTGACTACGATTCAATAATCGATAATCACAAGCTAAATCTACCATAATTTATTGAAACTACAATTTCAATGCATATTTTTAAAATGTTTAGTTGAAAATTAAAAATTTATTTGGTTGGTGGTTTTGACGTTTCCCAGCTAGAAATGGATTGAGCTGGCAGCACCGTTTGCCTCCTTTGAGTTGTTCCTGTCTGATTTTGCCTTTTTGGTCTTGTATGTGTAGCTCGTTTGTAGTGTGGTGTGAGGTTGTGTTTTCTTCTATTTTTGTTTTTTTTTTACCAAGTCAAGTGACGCGGGAACCATTTTGTTTTGATTGCAGTAACGCCAGCAACGTGTTTAGCTTTGTTTTTTGTATATAATAATAATACTTTTACCAAGATTTTTACTGTGTGAAACTTTTCTTGATTTGTGCCCGTTTACAATTCTCTCAATGTTTGTAGGTTATACCCCAACAAACACAGTACCTACCTACGTACTGAAGACGTACATTTTAGGTTCTTTTTACGTCGGTTCGTCGGGGATGTAAAAGTACGTTTTGAGTACGTACGTAAAAAACTGTATTAACATACGGACAGAAAAGTACGTACTAAGAACGTACGTGAAAATCTATATTGCGTACGTCTTGTAGAAGACGTACATGTTCGTTTCAAAGACGAACAATACAAGACGAGCTGGATCAGTCCCATCTATTCGTGATTTTTTTATCAATTCCTGATCATAATATATTTTTAAATAATTTGCAATTTCCGAGCAAAATATACGGAAGTGGTAGCCTTCCAAATTAACCTCTAAACCCTACTAAACCAAATGTATGTGAACCAAATGCAGGCTGACGTGGATTCCTATTATTGAACCTTAAATCTAAACTTAAATAAATACGAATACATTGTCATTATAAATGTTTTGTGAGGCAGGTCATAATATCAAGGATTTATAGTTCATTTAGGTACCTGACCTAAATAAATGGTCGAATGTTTAAAATAAACATGAAATGAACCAAGAAATAAACCAATGAGTGGAAAACAAGGGACGCCGCCGTCATCGGTCGCTTGGCTACGGCAGTGCACTGGGTGCAGTGTTGCCAATGACCCGATAATTATCGAAATCTACCATAATTTTGACTACGATTCAATATTCAATAATCACAAGCTAAATCTACCATAAATTATTGAAACTACAATTTCAATGCATATTTTCAAAATTTTTAGTTGAAAATTAAAAATTTATTTGGTTGGTGGTTTTGACGTACTGCTGGGCGCACACCAAACATTTACCAGCTAGAAATGAGTTGAGCTCGCAGCACCGTTTCTTCTTCTGATAATTTTGAATTTGACATCTGGCAACACTGGCGGGGCTCATCATTTTGATATGACGCCTCGCTTGAGTTGTTCCTGTTTGATTTTGCATTTTTCTTTTGTGTCTGTAGCTCGTTTGTAGAGTGGTGTGAGGACTGTGAGGTTTTGTTTTCTTCTATTTTTGTTTTTTTTTGCCAAATCAAGTGACGCGAGAACCATTTTGTATTGATTGCAGCAACGCCGAAACTGTGGAGTGTTTAGCTTGGCGGCTTCGCGGCTTGGCTATACCAATTTACTATGTATTTTGTCTGTATAATAATACTTTTAACCAAGATTATTACTGTGTGAAACTTTTTCTGGTTTATGCCCCTTTACAATTCTCTACATTATTATGTTTGGAGAATACCTATCTATTTCTGTATATTTTTTTTAGGTTGGAATTTTTCTTCACTTTTCCTTCATTTTTTTTGTTGAGTATGAAAATTGTAACTTGAAAATACAATACATATTTATATGGTTTTATTTTTCACTATAAAGATACCTACACATAAATACGTACCTCGTACCTCTATGTTTAGGGTTTTCTCCATATATTTTTGCACCCCATCTGGACAGGTTAATTGAATAGGTATCAAAAAGGTATAAATACAACATTTGTATTTACATATTTTTGATACCTATTCAATCAACCAGTTCTGGTAAGGTGCAAAAAAATATATGGGAAAACCCTGTACGTCCCAAACACATTCCTAAAAAGCTATACTAAATACGTACGTTAATGTACGTCCCCAACAGGTACCTAAAAAGCCGTACTGAGTACGTACGTGGGACGTACTATTTTGTGGAAAACGGCCGTCTTAAAGACGTCCCTCGTACGTCGGCGGGACCTAAAAAGTACGTCCGGGGACGTACTTTCGTCCGAAAAAGTACGAATTATGGACGTACCATAAGGTGGGGTTAGTTGCAACATTTTCAAAATTCTTTTGCCGATACCTTCTTTATTTTTTTTGTCGAATTTGACGTAATTGGTGCCAAAATTTTAGTCTTGTGGTCTAGTATCCGATTCTAACAAAAAACTTTGAGCAACATTATTATTTGATATATATTTTTTAAAAAAACTGGGTGTTGCAAGTTGAACCCCTGCCAGGGGATACTTGCAACAAGTGGCTTTTTTCAGTAGTAATTGTATTTAGGAACGCGTGTTAACTTACTTGCAACACCAAATATTAAAAAAAAAAAAAATTTGGCTAACTTTGGCCAATTTTGGTAAATTTTTCCTCCTCTTCCTTTGGAAATACAGGCTGCCTACCAGGATCAAGGGGAAACAAGTTTCTTCTTTTCCGAGAAAGCGTTGATGGGTCAATCCCGAATTCTCGCGATGCTTCCTGAATCCCTGATCCGTTTTCGATGGCCCTCAATGCATTTTCCAAAGTTTCGTTGGAATAATTACGGTAGGTCCTACTTCCTAACTGTTTTTTGTATTTGCGAGGCATGTTGCAAGTTACCCACTTTTGTACATGCAATTTAACAAAAAATCTGTTTACGAAAACCTTCAAACTTAACTCAAAACTAGATATTCAATGTTTTAGACTTAGCATTCAAGCACATCATATCCAAATTTGATACAAATCCTAGGGTAAATAAGCTCTGCACAGAAGAAGTTATATTGCAACAATTTAAAGCATTTACCAGAGCTGTCAGAAAATGGCGCCAAATTTTTCATGTTTAAAATTTTTCAACGCTAAACCTACTCACATTTCAACCTACTGATCCGTACTAAACGGTAACACGTTAGCGGTTGACGCGTGACTCAAGCAAGAAGAGGGGGAAAGCAAAAATTCCACCCCATGAATATTGTTGCAAGTTGTGCCACTGTTGCAAGTACCCCCACCTTACGTTACTAAAGACGTACTTGTGTTTGTTGGGCATGTCAAAGAATGTGATTGAAAATTACCATATGTTTTTGTGGCGGATGACGCCTTTGCTTTACGCACTGATATGATGAAACCCTTCCGACAAGCGGACTTAACTTCGCAAGAAAAAAAAAAAAATTTAACTATAGATTGTCTCGTGCAAGGCGCATTGTCGAAAATGCGTTTGGAATATTGGCTTCGCGATTTCGTATATTTCATACTTCAATTAATGTAGAACCTGAGAATATTGTTAAAATAGTAATGGCAGCAATTGTATTGCACAATTTTCTGATACAACATTCACCATAATCATATGCACCCCAAAAATGTGTTCAACAGGAAAATACAGTTGACGGAACCGTCATCACTTGTGGATACAATTCACAAAACTCTAGCATGGAAAACTTAGAGCCACGAAATCCGGGAAATATCAATGATGCTGCAAAAAATGTTAGAGAAAATTTCATGCGCTACTTCTATCATGAGGGTAGGGTACCATGGCAAAATGCTTTCATTGATTAAAGTACCTATTGAAGTTTCTTTTTTTTTAATTCACTTTCAAAATCATTCAAGTAAATTAATAAATTTGTACTAAAACATACAATAAATATATAAAAATCTACTACATCTTTCATTAACTTACCTCTGAGAAATATTCTTCATCTTGATCCAAGTTCGAGATTGACTTTCTTGGCGTTTCTTGGTCACCAAGAAAGTCAAATAGATGATAGTACCACAACTTAGGATGGTGAACTTCGTCAGCTGATGCCCCAGGCTTAATAGAGTCTTCATATTTCTTTTTTTCTTTTCTCACATTGCTTCGTAAATTATTATTTTTTTTTACAACTGCATCTTTATTGGCAGTGGGGTTTAGTTCTTTCAGCTTTTCTAGCAGTTTTTTATAAGCTGCCCTCGTTTTTCCACGATTGTGGTATTCCTTAGACTTCATTCGCCATAGACATGGCTGAAATTTATAAATCTATAAACTCGGCTATTATTCTACGTAGCTCTTCAATGGTTAGCGCCATTATAGAAAACTGCACACACGTTCCGGTACATCGTACGACAGCAGAGTGATGCAGGTAGACCGAATCATTTTTCAATTCTTTCCAGCTTTCTGCCAAGTCGTTTGCACTGCGCAGGTTTGCTCACACACACGTTGCGATATACCTGCACAGTTTTACCTGTACAGGTGTACCGGAACGTGAGTGGCCGGCTTAAGAATTCGCAAGGCTGTACCTCACCAACTACCACAGCCACCACAGGTGCCGAGCTCGGCTAGAGCCTATAAATTGCAGAAAAGAAATGTGAGTGAGTTTTTCGTCAGAAGTGACCTTAAATGTTTTTTTTTTCGAGTGTTTTTTTGAACAAATAAAACTAAAAAAAGTCCAAATAAACCTCCACGGTTTTTGGGCTACCTCAGGTGTCACAACTTTTCGCAGACGGAAATCGATTTATACTACACAGGTGGATCTAACCAACATATAAAAACGCTAGGGTTTCGAATATTTGTAAATATAAATTCATAACAGACTCTCCGTCTAATCAGGACGAGGAGCTGGAGAGCTTCCAAGTCACGGTCATCAGTTACTACAAGCCACTTCCAAAAGGGTACACACCTTAAGTAGCTCAGTTACTTTAGGCGTGTACCCTTTTGGGGCACTACCTGTTGTGCCTCTTGATGCAACTTAAGAACTCACCGACTGGGGAGTGAGTTTCAAGGGCGAGTTTCAAGGTCCCCTTTTCCCCCAGGGTATATCCGATACCATCCTGCCTTATCCGGCGTGAATGGGGAGAGGACGAAGATACATTTTGCACTCTTCCCTAGGCAGCCACTAAATGGCCGACCAAAAAAAAATTTCGGTTTGGATTCGAACCCGGTCTAACCAGCGACGTCGTCAAAAATTGGTTACTGTTATGCCCGTATTACATCTGTGTATTTTTCCGTGTATTTATTCATGTAGTTCAGGATGACAACCGAAAAACTTCAAACGCAACATAAATCAGCATTATGAAAAACAAAATAATGTTGGCACCCTGAACTACATGAATAAATACACGGAAAAATACACAGATGTAATACGGGCATTATACTGTTGCTTTTGCTCATGTTCCTACCTATGTCTCTTGTGACCACACGTTTTCTTGCTCTCTTAGCGAAGGGGTTTTGTGGATGGGAGATTTACGCAGTTATGTCTTACTCTGTTCCTGCTCAATATAGAGGTTCAGTTCAGTATCATAGATTTTTCAAAACTACGTCTTACTATACTATTAGGCGTCCAATTTTTCGATGGTATTGTTCGGTCTTCATGTCATGTCACTGCGACTAACAAATTCATCCACCATTTTCTCCTTAGTTGCGGATTCAATAACGACGTATCCCGCTTTCGGTTTAGGCTCACGGTAACTGCCTTCCTATCCAAAATTATACATTTACTTTATGGATCACGACCGTTAATAATTGATATAGTTCGAATAACTGGGAAACAGTCAGTATCATAGATTTATTACTCTTTTACAATTGCCTAGCTTTCGAAGCCTTTCGCTTCTTCTTCAGGGCTATAATAATATAATATAAAATAAATAAAAAATTAATATAATATAAATTAGAAATTAAATAAAAATTTTATAAACTTTTTAAAACATACCTTGTAGTGAGTCTATCGATTTCTCTGGTTTTTTTTTAAGTTTTTTCATTTATGATATAATATAAATTCTTATAAAAAATTTAATCTAAATGTATAATGAAAATTATTTCAAAAAATGTAAAATATGGTATAATTTTTTTTGAAAATTTTGATTAGTGTTTGATAGACTTGACAATATGACGAAGGTAATCTGTGAAGGTAATAAACCGGTATTGATTAATATACATTAGGAGGTTTTTTTGTCCAGAGATAACAAATAGGAATATATTATGCTCAAATTATTAATTTCTGTTCTTTCATTAATTGAATTTTTCTGTTTTTGTATTTCCGTCATTTTTAATGTAGAAATTCCAGACGATATTAAAAAAATATTATCACTAGGCTATAAATTTAGTATTGAACCAACAACTAAAGAAATATCAATTTCAAAATTATTATCGGATGTTGAATCTTTACTTTTCAATTTCAATTATGATACAAAAAATTTATTTAGAGCCAATATTACTAATTTAATAACGAATCATATCCAAAAAAAATCTTATCAACAAAATTACTTGAATAATCTTTTCTATAAAACAAAAAAAAAAAATTAAAAATCATCCTGAACTAATTCTCACTAAATCAGATAAAGGTAATGTTACTGTAATCTAAATATATAAAAATCAAAGTTCACGGGGTATCCGGGTATGCGCTCCTACACCACTTATCCGATTACGATGAAACTTTGGTAGATTGTTATGGCCATCCTAAGGAAGGTTTGTGGATAGGTTACGCATCTCGGAAAAAGGAATTAATTTTGAATTAATTAATAATTTAATTGTAAACAAAACTCATTCAAATTACATAACAACATAACCCAACTTTTTTTTGACAGTATGAAAGGCTTGCCATTCAACCGACGTAGCTTTATTATTTTTTGAATACGAGAACGGCTGGACCGATCTTGAATTTAATACCACGTATCTCTATATAAGCTGAATTCGATTGACCCAGATTAGATCGATATGGGTTCAATTAAGTGAACTTCTTCTGATCTAGATCATTTTTTTGTTGATGAGAGTGCACTGATCCAGCCTCAATCGAACACAGTGTGGGCGAATTCTCATGAGCGTAAGTTGACATTTCTGGCGTAACGAAACTCTGATACACTGGATCGCCTATAAACAACCCGGGGCGCTCTAGAACAGCTCTGGAGTGCTTAAAATGCGTCACTGAACTCACTGCGGCAAGCGACGCTGGTATCGGATAAAAAAAATAAAAAATTAAATAGAAAATCAACAACAAAATTTGAAAAAAAGTGTATTATTTAAAAATGTATTTTCAAGCTGGCAACGCAGCGGGTCATTAGCTAGTTATGGATAAAAACTCTTATGAAGATTTAGCTAGTAATATTCTAAATGACCAAAATTCATATAAAAAATTACAAAAAAATCCGACAACCTATCTTGAAAATCAATATAATAAATTAATTTCTCAATTAGAAAGATCCAATATGATAAATGAATTGGAAGCAAAGCAATAAAAATCACATAATACAACATGTCCAAAATTTTATGGCTTACCTAAAATTCATAAACCTACATTATCACTAAGACCTATAGTTTCATCAATTGATACTCCAAATACAAAATTAACAAATTTTATGAATAATATTTTGAAAAGGTCCTACAATACTCATAATGATTTTTACATAAAAGATTCATTTGAATTTTCTGAATTTATAAATGACAAAAAAATTCCTGAAAATTATATTTTGATAAGTTTAGATGCTATTTCTCTCTTTAGTAATATATCAATTAATTTAGTAAACGATAGTATAATCAAAAGATGGGATGACATTCAAAATTATTGTAAAATCACACAAACAAAATTTTTAGAAATCATTCAATTTATTTTCAATACCAATTGTAGGATTAATTATTTAATACAAAAATATGTCATTCGAAAACTCCTCAATATTTCCATAATAAATTATTATAATGCATCTCTTTTAAAAGTTGACCTTGATTCTAAAAATAGACTAGGCGCAGGTATAGGCTAGGAGGGTAGTGGAGATGAGAGGGGGGTAGCTGGCAAGTGGCAACAATAAGTGGAAGTCAGAAGTCAGGGGGCAGTCGGCAACAACCATTATAAGACGTAAGACGTGTTGCTTGGCCAGTCGTGACGGGACGTGTCGCGTTGTCTATAATTATTAAAGACGTGATAATTATATTAATTAAAAGACGAGAAGACGTATAAACATTTTGATGACGATTCTAAGACGAAGTTGGTGATTTTACGAGTTCATTGTGTACCTAGTTGCTAGTTGAAGGCTGTACTGTGGTGGTGCTCCGCTGTTAAATGTGCCTAGTCATTAACCTAAATCCATTCAATCGGTCGGTCAGTGCAATTAAAGTGCGCCAAATATTATTAATATTTAATAATGTGTTTTTATTGTTGAAACCAACCCCCACCCCTAGACAACAAACAAGAAAAGGCCTACAATTTGGGGGCTCAACCGGGATCTTGGCGGTATTTTGCTGGTATTGGTGGCATCGCGGCATTCCTATTGGCCGGATAATGTTGACATTGATGTGCGATTGTGATGGTTGACGTTGACGTTGATCGGCGAAGTGCGGGGCAAAGACATCGTGAAGGCCGTATCGATGCAATATCGATACAGTGTTTTTACATCGGTATCGATAAGTGCAACTCTAACCAAAGTTGGTAGTAAGCATCAAAGCTACTAGAGGGAGCTACTGGAAAGGCGTTGGCGTTTTTTTTTTTTTTTTGCTAGAAGAAAAATTTTTGAAAGTGCTATTTTTGATGTCAGATGATCGATGGTGCCCTGGAAAGTGTTTACTTTGAGTGAAAATTGGGTGTCACTAATGATAGAGGAATGACTACTTAATTAAGGTAGGATCTAATCTTTATTTATAACTTTTGAGCTGAAACATTATGTACATTTTTATATGAAAATAATTGAGTGGAAAAGACTGGAAACTAAAATGATTTATTGGGTTTTTATTTAATATTATTTTCATTATTGAGTAAGGAAGGTTATTTCGCTTTTGTGTAGGAAATTAGATATTTTTTTTGAGTAATAATAATCATTAATTAATATTTTTGGTTGAAAATATTTTCTAAAGTTTTCAAAAGTAGTTTAAATGGTATTATAGAAGCAACAATTTATTCTGAAGTTATCTTTTTAGTTGAATTATTGATGATTAAATTTCTTCTTAGTGTTTTTTATTATGAGAATTTTAAAAAAAATATAGATATACTTACCTAATTACTTACCTGTCAAATTGGTATATGTAAA